TTGACCAGACACAACGACTTGTCGGTCTTTGCCTGTATCCGTTAACATTCTTTCAATGACATTTTGACCCACATCACTGACGTAAAGATACCTATTTGGATATATAAACAATTAAGTAGCATGATTAATATCAAATATGAAATAAAGGCAGTAAACATTCTGATTTATGTATTTTGAAACTACTGATCCGTATTATGTTTTGTATTTAATAATACAGTAATATAATTGACACTTAAAGCGCGTTCTGCAGCAACAGTACAGCGAAAAAGGGAAAAGAATGATAATTTTCTTACCCGTTTGTTAGGTCAATAGCGATGTCTGATGGTTCTTTCAATTTGGGGGTACTAGATAATACTTTGTGACCACTACCATTCATGTTCATTTCAAAGACCTTTTTAGATACTGTTCCACTAAAGTATATTTTCCTATTGACAGCATCAATGACCAAAGATTGTGTTTCTAAATAACATAAGAAACAATAAAAACAACATCTTGTATAAATGATTTTAGCATTGGTTAATAATCGATGCATAATCAAACATGCCTAATTTGAAAGGTCTTGCCTTTAATTAAAACAAATTAATCTAAAATGAAAAATACATACTTGTGTTTGGACGTACAACTTCAACATCAGACCCGTTCAGACAGGCTCGCTTGACTTTATTAGTTTTTACTTCTGTCCAATAAATGTATTTCTCTACCGGATCATATTCCACTCCTCGGAGCCCTCCTTCGATGGTGATTGGGAAAGGAGTCAGCTCAATATTCTCTTGGCTCGGTGTATTAATAAAAGCATAATATATCAAACCCTTAGCTCCATCGGTTGCGAGAATTATATACTCTATATGTATTAATAAAACAAACCGTTTAAAATAAAATAAAACGTATATCGTTGCAAAAAAAAATTAGGAATATGAGAAAAAAAAGATGAATGATAAAATAAGCCATTAAAAAATATTATTAATAAATAATTTAATTCATTCTTAATTTAATTTTATATTATTTCAGAAGTATTATTTCGCAAAACTGATTTAATAATAAGTTGAATATTATGGTATATATATATATATGTATATATATATGTATATATATATAGATTAAAAAGCAAAATACTGGAAAACAACAATGCTGTGGGAAACAATGGCTGGATCTCAGTAGAGATACAAAAATGATAAGCAACAGCTAAAAAGTAAACGTAAGTAAACAGCCAGAAATAGAACCAGAGCTTTCGGACAACACTAGTCCTTCCTCAGTGGCGAGGGATATATATATATAATATCTCTTTAGAGAACCAGCGTGAATTGCATAATGTAAAGTAGAGGCTGTATCAATTCAGGTCCTTGATTGTCCTATGGGCATGCACGGACTAGTGTTGTTCAAATTGCCATGAGGACACATTGAGAATGTTAAAGGACTCTCGGTGGCTACCGGATCGAATCAACCAACGAAAGCCTTCATAGTATAGTTGGTAAGGCCTTCGCCGTCTAAGCGAAAAGTCCCGAGTTCCATTCCTGGTAGAGGCTGAATTTTTTTTTTCATTCTCAAAAATCCAATTCTTGTACACATCATCAATAGTGTTTTGCCGGAAGTTCTATTCTAGTATTCGGTCTTCTGCATCCCTCTTCAACCCGTTGTAACTCTTTCCATTGCGTATATCATCAAGTAGCATTATTCTTTTCCTTCCTCTTGGTCTTTTTCCCTGTACATTATATTCTTCAAAATTCTTCTACTATTACGTTACACTTAAATTATGGAAGACGTTGCCTCAAAATTTATTGAGATTTTTCGGGCGTAGGCCCCCTAACCCTTTTTCAAGAACCCGTGACGTTTCGCACATGCATGACGAACGTCATAAGCTTTTGACCACGAAGGCATTGTGATGATTCAAGCGCCAAGTACAATTTAAATTCCTTTCATTCATTTTCAACGTGCCCGACGTCACGATTTTGATACTGAAAAGCACTAATATCGCACGCGAGAGATCTATAAGACCCGCCCTCTTCTGTGAATTATATGTATAGTACCGACCATCATTATATTCCCAACGTTGTATTTAAACTTACCAGCACTACCATGTTTAGGAAGTCCACACTTAGCAGATCCACCTTGCCCTCCAGGACTACCAGGTCTACCATGACCTCCTGGTCGACCAGGTCCACCATGTCCTGGTCTACCAGGCCTACCTGGTCCACCTGGTCCACCAGGTCTAACTGGCCTGCCAGGTTGACCAGGTCTGCCTTCTCCTCCCGGCCTACCAGGGCCACCTGGTCTACCTTGCCCACCTGGTCTGCCAGGTCTACCTGGTCTACCTTGCCCTCCTGGGCCGCCAGATCCGCCTTGTCCTGGTCCACCAGGTCTACCTGGTACTCCTGGTCTACCAGGTTGACCAGGCCCGCCTGGTCCTCCTGGCCTACCAGGTCCACCTGGTCTTCCTTGTCCTCCTGGTCTGCCAGATCCGCCTTGTCCTCCTGGTCCACCAGGTCCACCAGGCCTCCCCGGTCTACCGGGCCTACCAGGTTGACCAGGTCTGCCTTGTCCTCCTGGCCTACCAGGTCCGCCCTGTTCTTGGTCCTTACAGGTTGTTGGTATTCCTGCATTATTTACTAGGGAATAAAAAACAGTTAGTGAAAAGGTATCCTCAATTTTAATAATAAAATGTTGTAAACATTACTGTCTATATTTGGATCAAAACTCATCAACGTACCTCTCCGAATAATAAGAGTTTCCGGTTCTGAAAATACACTGTTTCCAATATATTCCAGATTCTTTCCATTCTCCGATATCCGGATTAGTTTCTCCTTTGAGTTTGACAAAATAAAAAGGTATCCTCCAAGTGATGTCACGTCGACAGGTTCTGTCAATTGTGGTAATGATGTAGAATTGGCAATTGTTGTTTTGTCAGAACCCAAGAAACTGCTTCTACGTATTTGACTTTCAACACGATTTGTCCAATACAAACGACAATCTGTAAAAAGATAAGCAGAGATGTACGTGGCTGAGGTCCTGGGCAAGCTCCGTTAAGATAAATGTTTTACTTTAAGAACATAATTATTGTTTATCATCGAAACTATTTCAAATTTATTCTTTACCTGACAAATCCACATCAATACCATTCACCTTTTCACCAGACACAACGACTTGTCGGTCTTTGCCTGTATCCGTAAGCATTCTTTCAATAGCATTTTGCCCAACATCACTGATGTAAAGATACCTATTTTGAATGTATAAACGATTAAGGAGCAAGTTTAATATAAAATATGAATAAAGGCAGTAAACAATCAGTATTATATTTTGTATTTTATAATACAGTAATATTATTAACACTCATAACGCTTATATGTTCTGCAGCAACAGTACAAGAAACGGGAAAAGGAGGATTTTCTTACCCGTTTGTTGGGTCAATAGCGATGTCTGATGGCTGTTTTAATTTGGGGGTATCAGATAATACTTTGACACCACTACCATTCATGTTCATTTCAAAGACCTTTTTAGATACCGTTCCAGCAAAGTATATTTTCCTATTGACAGCATCAATGACCAAGGACGGTGTTTCTAAAAAAAGAATTATAAAAACTAAAATAAGAACCCAGTCAGATCATTCCTGGTAAATTTGAACTCAATTGGATACTTCAAAAAATTTAAAAAAAATAAAAAAAATTGATAGCCCAAAACACCTCATAGGTTATTTTCGGGCGTCTAGGAAAATTAAGCAGACTGATTGTCTCTTCTACGTCACGTGACTCCTCAAATTCAGACGAGCATAGAACAAGTGGTGCGATTAAACAGCCCGTCTCATTGCTTTATACGTATGTTGTCTCAGATTGTACAAAAATAGACCAGCTCCAAACTTCAAAGTGCGAACGAGCATGACTTGGCTCGTCTCTCCATGGTCTGTTTGTCTCCGCTCGCTTTGTCTTTGGAGGAATAATGACTGTTGTATTATTATTCATTCTCTAATCTGCGTCTACGCGCAATTTTATGGCTTCAGCGTGACGTTGAGGATCACAGTATCGGTATGAAAAAGACAAAATATTGGCAAATATATACTGTAATAGGACTTTTGATAGTGAAATGCGAAGATTTCCATATAGGCCTTACTGTAACTGTGTATTATTACGAATACAGATACTTCGAAATCTCTAAAAATAACCATTGTGTGTGGGGACACAACAGACATGAAACGGTGTTCTTGATACAACTCTGTACAAGAAGCTTAAATATTCCATACTTGCTGATGGCACACAATAATCAAACCTCTTTGTTTGATAATAACAGCCCATCCCAGTAGGATGGTGTGAGTGGAAACAGCTTATCTAGGGAGATATGATGGCTTATATTATTAGTAAATATATTGTCTTTAAAATAAACAGCTTAATGAGGGTGGCAATTCTTGCATATGCTTAGTAAGCAGGGAGTATTATCAATTATTATTTGTTACTAATTACCAATTATAATTATTTAATAGTCATTGTTAATTATTATTAAATATTTATTATGAAATTACTAAATAAATTGATTGGCACTACTGTTCAGTAACCTTCGTATTCTCTAGAGAAACAGAGTTAGTGGTAAATCTTAGAAGCATTTGGTTTTCTGAAAGTAGGATTTTGGAAGAGGCTTCGGCTTACAACTAGCCAGTGCTACTATATAACATGGTAGTCATTCTAGCTGTGCAATTCTTGTGTACCTCTTTGGTACGGTTATATATATACCAAAAATGAAATAAAATGATAATTGCCTAAGTAATAAAACAAATATATATAAAAAAACGTTTTAAATGGGTCTGGGGCCCAGGCAGGGCTTACCACGTAGATCTACGCCTAATTACTGTACTGTATTTGTAGAATATGACTAAACTTACACAGTATATTTTAGTAGGCCTAATAGTAATACTATGAAATATAAAACTACAGTATGTTTGGCCTAATCCGATAACAATTAAATTACAACTATTCCCTTGGCCTAATTAATGCCCTCTAGGTTTCGAGCGTCTATTAATTTATTTAAGAATGGCTTAACTTCGCACTACTCTGTGTTACAACGTGTTGCATGCCTGACTGAATTTTAAGGTCATGTGATATAGAACAGCCAATCCGGCTGCTTAATTCTACTTCATTGGTAATTCTCATATAGGAGAAAAAATATCGCCCCCCGGCTCCTAGGGTGGTGTTATACCGATCGGCCCCACTTTCGGCCCCCTTTTCCCCCTTTCGGATATCTCTGGATCGGCCGATGCAGTTGGCCCCAAATCCCTGAATAACATGTAAGACTATGCCTTACGCAAATGCATACAGTATGTGGAAAGGACTATACTTTGATATGCTCTTTATCACAGAAGACTAATTCTTTTTTAGGGTTTTTGACCCTAATGACACCTATGTGTGCTTGGCGCCAAGCTGTTAACATCCATGTATGGGAGGTGTCACTGGTTGTGCTACTAATTGAAATCGGCCCAATCTTTTGCCTGTAGTAGCGTTTTGAAAAGTTGCCTGACAAAATAGTGACTCCTTAATGACCTATGACCCAAAAATCCTGAACACCATAAAGACCCTTTGTTATTGCAATGCTATGAGCAAAGAACAAGACTGTGCTATTTGTGAAAGAAGTAGACTTTAATTAACTTTTATAGGTTTTTTTTTTTAATGACGCCTATGTGACCTTTCACCACAAGCTGTGACCACTTCATATATGGTATGGTAAATGTCACCGGTTTTACTAAACCCAAGTTTGATTGAAATAGGCCTAATCGTTTGCCACCAGCAGCGTTTTGAAATATTACCAGAAAAATATAAGAATAACCTCCTAATGACTTTCGACCCCAAATTACTGAACAACATAAAAACTTTGCCTTATGCCAATGCATATGTGCAAATAAAAAGACAGTGTTATGGTATTATAAATTCTTTATAATAAAATAATTGTTTATTGTAATTATTTATTATGAAACGTTTAATGTGGTTGATTTTGATGCTACATTTTCTAATATGCTCTTAGCTTAATTTAATCAATTTTAAATATCTTAAAGTGAAACTGGGGGTGAGTCGTAAACACTGACGTTTTGTTACAGAGATTATGTTCGCTTTTGTGTTTCCTGCCAACTCACTCAGTTGGATGTCTTCTGTGTGTGTTTGTGATGTTTTTGGCAATTAAGACGAATAAGAACAAGAATTTTTCGCAAAGAATTTTGGTGTATTCATGTATGGGGGTGTCACCAACATTGATTGAAATTGCCCAAACGTTTGGCAATAGTAGCGTTTTCAAATGTTGACAAAAGAAGAAGGCTGTTATCACTGGTTTATAATCAACGCATATAATCAACCATGCATAACTTTAAAGATCTTTGTTTAATTAAACTAATAAATTTCATATGCAAAATACATACTTGAGTTTGGACGTATAACTTCAACATTGGCAGTAGTAGTGTTTTACAGTGTTGCCAGAAGAAAACAGAACCCAGTAAGGGTAACAATATGATGTATAAAGGCCGTTATCACTGGTTTATAATCGACGCATATAAGCAACCATGCATAAGTTGAAAGATCTTTGTTAAATTTAAACAAAATAAATTTAATATGCAAAATACATACTTGAGTTTGGACGTATAACTTCAACATTAGATCCGTTCAAACAGGCTCGTTTGACTTTATTAGTTTGTACTTCTGTCCAATAAATGTATTTCTCTACCGGATCATATTCTACTCCTCGGAGCCCTCCTTCGATGGTAATTGGGAAAGGAGCTAGGTCAATATTCTCTTGGCTCGGTGTATTAATAAAAGCATAATATATTAAACCTTTAGCTCCATCGGTTGCGAGAATTATATACTCTGCATGTATTAAAAGAAAAACAGACCATTTAAATTACAACAAAACGAATATGGTTACAAAACTAGAGTAAAATATGATGAGAAAAAGAGGTCAATGATAAAATAAGCCTTTTCAGATAGTATTAATAATAAATAATTCAATAATGGATTTTGTCGAAGTTAAATTTTATATTATATCAAATGTATTATTATGCAAATCTGAATTAATGACATTTGGTAGATTATGCTGATTCTCATTGATCTTGTTAACATACTGTAGTAATGTAATATATATAATAATATTACAGTACATATATACATATATATATATATATATATATATATATATATATAATATATATATATATATATATAGAGAGAGAGAGAGAGAGAGAGAGAGAGAGAGAGAGAGGTCCACGTATAATAAAACTAAAATAATTATACAAAAACACTTTATTTCTTTAATTCGTTGTTATAAACAAAGACCGAGTTGCTTAGAAAAGAATCTCCGATCTGGACAAGCTGTTATTAAAAGAACGGAGTCTGCCGTATTTATTAGCGATATATACGCGATGCATTGGATATGATAAAATATGTTCTACTGTATTATTTTGTTACCATTATTGTTGCCGGCCAAGATACCAAGGTCTTTTTGAGCGGATACACGTTCATTAACAAATTTGCTAAAAGATAAAACAGTACTAATAATTATTGCATTAAAGGACCGACATTTCCAAGGGCTGGACAGCCTATTGATCGTTTTGTTTATCTTTTGTTTTTCATTTAATTTCTGTTTGAGCATTGGCCTATTAATGGTTAATTCCGATGTTATATTAATTCAGTAGGCATTAAACTGAAGAGAGCAGGCGCTCCAGAAATAAATAAATTTTGTATATCCTGAAAAAACGTCAACCGAATGTTCATTATTGTATTTCCAAAGTACTTTAACTTACCTGCACTATTTTTACACAGGACTGCCCATCATTATATTTATTATATTTACAATGTTGTATATCAACTTACCTGCACTATTTTTAGGAAGTCCACACACTGCAGATCCCTCTTGCAATCCAGGTCTACCAGGTCTACCATGCCCTCCTGGTCCACCAGGTCTACCAGGCCTACCTGGTTTACCTTGACCTCCTGGTCCACCAGATCCATCAGGTCTTCCCGGTCTACCGGGCCTACCAGTTTGACCAGGTCTACCTTGACCTCCTGGTCCACCAGATCCACCTTGTCCTCCTGGACCGCCTGGTCTTCCGGGTCTACCAGGTTGACCAGGTCTGCCTGGTCCTCCCGGCCTATCAGATCCACCTGGTCTTCCTTGTCCTCCTGGTCTGCCACCTTGCCCTCCTGGTCCGCCAGATCCACCTTGTCCTCCTGGTCCACCAGGTCTTCCCGGTCTACCGGGCCTACCAGGTTGACCAGGTCTGCCTTGTCCTCCTGGTCCACCAGATCCACTTTGTCCTCCTGGTCCACCTGGTCTTCCGGGTCTATCAGGTTGACCAGGTCTGCCTGGCCCTCCCGGCCTACCAGATCCACCTGGTCTTCCTTGTCCTCCAGGTCTGCCACCTTGCCCTCCTGGTCCGCCAGATCCACCTTGTCCTCCTGGTCCACCAGGTCTTCCCGGTCTACCGGGTCTACCAGGTTGACCAGGTTTGCCTTGTCCTCCGGGCCTACCTGGTTCGCCCTGTTCTTGGTCCTTACAGGTTGTTGGTATTCTCGCATTATTTACTAGGGAATAGAAAACAATTAGTAAAAAGGTATTCTCAATTTTAATAATAAAATGCTGTAAACATGACTGTCTATATTTGGATCAAAACTCATCAACGTACCTCTCCGAATAATAAGAGTTTCCGGTTCCGAAAATACACTGTTTCCAATATATTCTAAATTCTTTCCACTCTCCGATATCCGGATTAGTTTCTCCTTTGAGTTTGACAAAATAAAAAGGTATCCTCCAAGTGATGTCACGTCGACAGGTTCTGTCAATTGTGGTAATGATGTAGAATTGGCAATTGTTGTTTGGTCAGAACCCAAGAAACTGCTTCTACGTATTTGACTTTCAACACGATTTGTCCAATACAAACGGCAATCTGTAACAAGATAAGCAGAGATGTACGTGGCTGAGGTCCTGGGCAAGCTCCGTTAAGATAAATGTTTTACTTTAAGAACATAATTATTGTTTATCATCGAAACTATTTCCAATTTATTCTTTACCTGACAAATCCACATCAATACCATTCACCTTTTCACCAGACACAACGACTTGTCGGTCTTTGCCTGTATCCGTGAGCATTCTTTCAATAGCATTTTGCCCAACATCACTGATGTAAAGATACCTATTTGAATGTATAAACGATTAAGGAGCATGTTTAACATAAAATATGACTAAAGGCAGTTAAAAATCTAATTTATGTATTCTGAAAATACTGATTCGTATTTTATTTTGTATTAAGAATACAGTAATATTATTGAAACTCATAGCGTTTATGCGCTGTACAACAACAGTACAAGAAACGGGAAAAATGGGGATTTTCTTACCCGTTTGTTGGGTCAATAGCGATATCTGATGGCTGTTTTAATTTAGGGGTATCAGATAATACTTTGACACCACTACCATTCATGTTCATTTCATACACCTTTTTAGATACCGTTCCAGCAAAGTATATTTTCCTATTGACAACATCAATGACCAAGGATGGTGTTTCTGAAAAAAAAACAAAAAAAAAACTACAATATGAACACAGTCAAATCATTCCTGGTAAATTTGAGCTTAATTGGATACTTTTAAAATCGGCCCAATTGTTTGCCACTAGTAGCGATTTGAAACTCTTTCGGGCACGGACTGAGGGGGCCTGCCGCCCTCCCTCTTTCAGAAAGTCAAAAAAATGAAGAAAAATACAAAAACTGATAGCCCAAAACACCTCAGAGGTTATTTCCTATATGAGAATTGCCAATGAAGGAAGATTAAGCAGACTGATTGGTTGTTCACGTCACGTGACTCCTCAAATTCAGTCGCGCATGGAACAAGTAGTGAGACTAATAGCCCGTCTCTTTGCTTTGTGATTGTACCTTAGACAACTGTATACTTACAGCTGTCTTATTGTACGAAATAGAGACAAACTCCAGAGCGCGAACGAGCACGACTTGGCTGGTCTGTCCATGGTCTGTCTGTCTCGCTCCCTTTGTCTTTGGAGGAATAATGACTGTTGTTGTTGTTGTTGTTGTTGTGGCGTTGAAGATCACAGCATCGGTTTGAAAAAGACAATTTATTGGCAATGTACTTGTTTTTAAATAGGTCTTTAAGAATTGACAGTGAAATGCCAATATTTTCATATAGGCCTTACTGTGTATTATTGTGAATGCAGGTACTTCGAAATCTCTAAAAATAACCATTGTGTGTGGAAACAATAGACTTGAAACGATGATGTTGATACTACATTCAACTGACCCTGTACAACAAGCTTAAATATTCCATACTTGCTGATGGCACACAATAATCAAACCTCTTTGTTTGATAATAACAGCCCATCCCAGTAGAATTGTGTGGGTGGAAATAGCTTATCTAGGAAGATATGATGGTTTATAAGATAGTATAATATATCCGAATGGAGGACATCGTGTCGGGATTCAATATTTCAACATTAATTTTGTCATCATCAGGGATGAAAAATTATCCATATTTGGCAAGTACCAAACGTGTTTAACCAATCAAAACATTACCTCTAGTAGGTGACATAGCTATAAATAAACTAAAGATCAAAGCATTCCTACCCTACTGAACACCATAGAAAATTTGCCGTATACCAATGCATATGTGCAAAAAATGACTGTGTTGTGGTATTATTATGTTTATTTTAAAAATATTTTAATTATACTTTTTTATTGTAATTGTTTATGTTAAAACGTTTAATGTGGTTGATTTTGATGTTACATTTTAAAATGCTCTTAGCCTAATTTATTTATTTTTTAATAGTTTAATGTAAAACTGGGTGAGTCGAAAACACTGACGTGTTGTTACAGCGATTAGGTTCGTTTTTGTGTTTCCTGCCAACTCACTCAATTTGATGTTTTTGTGTGTGTGTGTGTTTGTAATGTTTTTGCAATTAAGACGAATAAAAACAAGAATTTGTGACCTATGTCTTTAATGAGATTTTTGTGTATTCATGTATGGAAGGGGTCACCAACATTGATTGAAATCAGCCCAACCGTTTGGCAGTAGTAGTGTCTTACAGTGTTGCCAGAAGAAAACAGAACCCAGTCAGGGTAACAATATGTTGTATAAAGGCCGTTATCACTGGTTTATAATCGACGCATATAAGCAACCATGCATAAGTTGAAAGATCTTTGTTAAATTTAAACAAAATAAATTTAATATGCAAAATTAATACTAAAATGTTGTAAAAATGACTATATTTGAATCAAAACTCATCAACATACCTCTCCGAATAATAAGAGTTTCCGGTTCCGAAAATACACTGTTTCCAATATATTCCAGATTCTTTCCATTCTCCGATATCCGGATTAGTTTCTCCTTTGTGTTTGACAAAATAAAAAGGTATTCTCCAAGTGATGTCACGTCGACAGGTTCTGTCAATTGTGGTAATGATGTCGAATTGGCAATTGTTATTTTGTCAGAACCCAAAAAACTGCTTCTACGTATCTGACTTTCAACACGATTCGTCCAATACAAACGACAATCTGTAACAAGATAAGCAGAGATGTACGTGGCGTTTTTGTGTCGCAAAAAACTGAGGTCCTGGGCAAGCTCCGTTACGGTAAATGCTTTCTTCTAAGAACATATTAATTTTTATAATATCGAAACTATTTCAAATTTATTATTTACCTGACAAATCCACATCAATACCATTCACCTTTTCACCAGACACAACGACTTGTCGGTCTTTGCCTGTATCCGTTAGCATTCTTTCAATGGCATTTTGCCCAACATCACTGATGTAAAGATACCTATTTTTAATGTATAAACGATTAAGGAGCATGTTTAACATAAAATATGAATAAAGGCAGTTAAAAATCTAATTTATGTATTCTGAAAATACTGATTCGTATTATATTTTGTATTAAGAATACAGTAATATTATTGAAACTCATAGCGTTTATGCGCTGTACAACAACAGTACAAGATACGGGAAAAACGGGGATTTTCTTACCCGTTTGTTGGGTCAATAGCGATGTCTGATGGCTGTTTTAATTTGGGGGTATCAGATAATACTTTGACACCACTACCATTCATGTTCATTTCATACACCTTTTTAGATACCGTTCCAGCAAAGTATATTTTCCTATTGACAACATCAATGACCAAGGATGGTGTTTCTGAAAAAAAAAACAAAAAAAAACTACAATATGAACACAGTAAAATCATTCCTGGTAAATTTGAGCTTAATTAGATACTTTTAAAATCGGCCCAATTGTTTGCCACTAGTAGCGATTTGAAACTCTTTCAGAAAGTCAAAATAAAAGGAAGAAAAATACAAAAACTGATAGCCCAAAACACCTCAGAGGTTACTTCCTATATGAGAATTGCCAATGAAGGAAGATTAAGCAGACCGATTGGTTGTCCACGTCACGTAACTCCTCAAATTCAGTCGCGCATGGAACAAGTAGTGAGACTAATAGCCCGTCTCCTTGCTTTGTGATTGTACCTTAGACAACTGTATACTTACAGCTGTCTTAGATTGTACGAAATAGAGACGACTTGGCTGGTCTGTCCATGGTCTGTCTGTCTCGCTCCCTTTGTCTTTGGAGGAATAATGACTGTTGTTGTTGTGGCGTTGAAGATCACAGCATCGGTTTGAAAAAGACAATTTATTGGCAATGTACTTGTTCTTAAATAGGTCTTTAAGAATTGACAGTGAAATGCCAAGATTTTCATATAGGCCTTACTGTGTATTATTGTGAATGCAGGTACTTCGAAATCTCTAAAAATAACCATTGTGTGTGGAAACAACAGACTTGAAACATGATGTTGATACTACATTCAACTGACCCTGTACAACAAGCTTAAATATTCCATACTTGCTGATGGCACACAATAATCAAACCTCTTTGTTTGATAATAACAGCCCATTCCAGTAGGATTGTGTGAGTGGAAATAGCTTATCTAGGAAGATATGATGGTTTATAAGATAGTATAATATATCCGAATGGAGGACATCGTGTCGGGATTCAATATTTCAACATTAATTTTGTCATCATCAGGGATGAAAAACTATCCATATTTGGCAAGTACCAAAAGTGTTTAACCAATCAAAACATTACCTCTAGTAGGTGACATAGCTATAAATAAACTAAAGATCAAAGCATTCCTACCCTACTGAACAACATAGAAAATTTGCCTTATACCAATGCATATGTGCAAAAAAAGACTGTGTTGTGGTATTATTATGTTTATTTTAAAAATATTTTAAATATACTTTTATTGTAATTGTTTATGATAAAACGTTTAATGTGGTTGATTTTGATGTTACATTTTAAAATGCTCTTAGCCTAATTTAATTATTTTTAAATAGTTTAATGTAAAACTGGGTGAGTCGGAAACACTAACGTGTTGTTACAGCGATTAGGTTCGTTTTTGTGTTTCCTGCCAACTCACTCAATTTGATGTGTTTGTGTGTGTGTTTGTAATGTTTTTGAAATTAAGACGAATAAAAACAAGAATTTGTGACCTATGTCTTTAATGAGATTTTTGTGTATTCATGTATGGAAGTGGTCACCAACATTGATTGAAATCAGCCCAACCGTTTGGCAGTAGTAGTGTCTTACAATGTTGCCAGAAGAAAACAAAACCCAGTCAGGGTAACAATATGTTGTATAAAGGCCGTTATCACTGGTTTATAATCGACGCATATAAGCAACCATGCATAAGTTGAAAGATCTTTGTTAAATTTAAACAAAATAAATTTAATATGCAAAATACATACTTGAGTTTGGACGTATAACTTCAACATTAGATCCGTTCAAACAGGCTCGCTTGACTTTATTAGTTTGTACTTCTGTCCAATAAATGTATTTCTCTACCGGATCATATTCCACTCCTCGGAGCCCTCCTTCGATTGTGATTGGGAAAGGAGTTAGGTCAATATTCTCTTGGCTCGGTGTATTAATAAAAGCATAATATATTAAACCTTTAGCTCCATCGGTTGCGAGAATTACATAGTCTGCATGTATTAAAAGAAAAACAGATCGTTTAAATTACAACAAAACGAATATGGTTGGAAAACTAGAATAAAGAATAATGAGAAAAAGAGGTCAATGATAAAATTAACCTTTTTCAAAAATATTTATAATAAATAATTCAATTGGTTTTACATTATATCAAATGCATTATTCTGAAAAACTGAATGACAGATTATGCTAATTCTCATTGATCTTTTTAACATAATGTAGTACTGTAATGTAAAACAATATAATATATAATAATATTACAGTACATATATATATATAAATAAATATATATATATATATATTTGTCGATTGTTTTGTTTATCTCTTGTTTATCATTTAATTTCTGTTTTTATTTGATCATGGACCTATTAATGGTTAATTCCGATGTTATATTAATTCAATAGGCATTACGCTGAAAAGAGCAGGCACTCCCGAAATATTCGTAAGTATAAAAAATTACATATATCCTGAAAAAACGTCAACCGCCTATTATTTTTTCTCGACTTGGTATGAATGTATGTATGTATGTATGTATGTATGTATGTATGTATGTATGTATGTGTGTATGTATGGGTGTATGTATGTATGTATGTATGTATGTATGTATGTATGTATGTATGTTTGTATGTACGTATATATGTATGTATAAATATCCAATGTATTTTAGTGCATTATTTTTAGACATGACTGTCCATCATTATATTTATTATATTTCCAATGTTGTATATTAACTTACCTGCACTATTTTTAGGAAGTCCACACACTGCAGATCCATCTTGCCCTCCAGGTTCACCAGATCCACCATGTCCTGGTCTACCAGGCCTACCTGGTCTTCCTTGACCTCCTGGTCCACCAGATCCACCCTGTCCTCCAGGCCCTCCTGGTCTACCAGGCTGACCAGGTCTGCCTGGTCTACCTTGCCCTCCTGATCCACCAGATCCACCTTGTTCTCCTGGTCTTCCTTGTCCTCCAGGACTACCTGGTCTACCTTGACCTCCTGGTCCACCAGATCCACCTTGTCCTCCTGGACCACCTGGTCTACCAGGTTGACCAGGTCTGCCTGGTCCTCCCGGCCTATCAGATCCACCTGGTCTTCCTTGTCCTCCTGGTCTGCCACCTTGCCCTCCTGGTCCGCCAGATCCACCTTGTCCTCCTGGCCCTCCCGGTCCACCAGGTCTTCCCGGTCTACCGGGCCTACCAGGTTGACCAGGTCTGCCTTCTCCTCCTGGTCCACCAGATCCACCTTGTCCTCCTGGTCCACTTGGTCTTCCGGGTCTATCAGGTTGACCAGGTCTGCCTGGTCCTCCCGGCCTACCAGGTCCACCTGGTCTTCCTTGTCCTCCAGGTCTGCCACCTTGCCCTCCTGGTCCGCCAGATCCACCTTGTCCTCCTGGTCCTCCCGGTCCACCAGGCATTCCCGGTCCACCAGGCATTCCCGGTCTACCGGGCCTACCAGGTTGACCAGGTCTGCCTTGTCCTCCTGGCCTACCAGGTTTGCCTTGCCCTTGGTCCTTACAGGTTGTTGGTATTCTTGCATTATTTACTAGGCAATAGAAACAATTAGTGAAAATATATCCTCAATTTTAAACCAATAACCGAAGTATGTTGTTTTTGGTAATTAATACTAAAATGTTGTAAAAATGACTATATTTGGATCAAAAGTCATCAACATACCTCTCCGAATAATAAGAGTTTCCGGTTCCGAAAATACACTGTTTCCAATATATTCCAGATTCTTTCCATTCTCCGATATCCGGATTAGTTTCTCCTTTGTGTTCGACAAAATAAAAAGGTATTCTCCAAGTGATGTCACGTCGACAGGTTCTGTCAATTGTGGTAATGATGTCGAATTGGCAATTGTTATTTTGTCAGAACCCAAAAAACTGCTTCTACGTATCTGACTTTCAACACGATTCGTCCAATACAAACGACAATCTGTAACAAGATAAGCAGAGATGTACGTGGCGTTTTTGTGTCGCAAAAAACTGAGGTCCTGGGCAAGCTCCGTTACGGTAAATGCTTTCTTCTAAGAACATATTAATTTTTATAATATCGAAACTATTTCAAATTTATTCTTTACCTGACAAATCCACATCAATACCATTCACCTTTTCACCAGACACAACGACTTGTCGGTCTTTGCCTGTATCCGTTAGCATTCTTTCAATGGCATTTTGCCCAATATCACTGATGTAAAGATACCTATTTTGAATGTATAAACGATTAAGGAGCATGTTTAACATAAAATATGAATAAAGGCAGTAAACAGTCTAATTTATGTACTCTAAAAAGTACTGATTCGTATTATATTTTGTATTAAGAATACAGTAATATTATTGAAACTCATAGCGTTTATGCGCTGTACAACAACAGTACAAGAAACGGGAAAACGGGGATTTTCTTACCCGTTTGTTGGGTCAATAGCGATGTCTGATGGCTGTTTTAATTTGGGGGTATCAGATAATACTTTGACACCACTACCATTCATGTTCATTTCATACACCTTTTTAGATACCGTTCCAGCAAAGTATATTTTCCTATTGACAACATCAATGACCAAGGATGGTGTTTCTGAAAAAAAATAAAATAAAAACTACAATATGAACACAGTCAGATCATTCCTGGTAAATTTGAGCTTAATTAGATACTTTTAAAATCGGCCCAATTGTTTGCCACTAGTAGCGATTTGAAACCCTTTCAGGGACGAATTGAGGGGTCCTGCCGCCCTCCCTCTTTCGGAAAGTCTAAAAAAATAAAGAAAAAGAAAAAAAATTGATAGCCCAAAACACCTCAGAGGTTATATATGAGAATTGTCAATGAAGGAAGATTAAGCAGTCTGACTGGCTGCTCCACGTTACGTGACTTCTTAAATTCAGTCTAGCATGGAACAAGTACCGGTAGTGAGATTAATAGCCCGTCTCATTGCTTAGTGATTGTACCTTAGAGTTAGACAACTGTTGTATAGTTGTCTTAATAGGTTGTAAGAAATAGAGACAAGCTCCGTAGTGCGAACGAGCACGACTTGGCTGGTCTGTCCATGGTCTGTCTGTCTCGCTCCCTTTGCCTTTGGAGGAATAATGACTGTTGTATTATAATTAGTCATTCTCTAACGTGCTCCTACGCGCGTTTTTATGGCTTCAGCGCGGCGTTGAGGATCACAGCATCGGTATGAAATAGACAACTTATTGGCAAAGTACTGTTCTCAAATAGGACAATAAGAATTGATAGTGAAATGCCAAGATTTCCATATAGGCCTTACTGCGTATTATTGTGAATACAGGTAGGCCTATTGTGTGTGGAAACAATAGACTTGAAACGATGACGTTGATACTACATTCAACTGACCCTGTACAACAAGCTTAAATATTCCATACTTGCTGATGTCATACAATCAAACCTCTTTGTATGATAATAACAGCCTATCCCAGTAGAATGGTGTGAGTGGAAATAGCTTATCTAGGGAGATATGATGGCTTATAAGATAGTATAATGCCTACTCTTTGTATCCAAATGGAGGACATTGTGTCGGGATTCAATATTTCAACATTAATTTTGTCATCATCAGGAATGAAAAATTATTCATATTTGGCAAGCTTATATGCACAAGTACCAAAAGTGTTTAACCAATCAAAACATTACCTCTGGTAGGTGACATAGCTATGAATAAACTAAAGATCACAGCATTCCTACCCTACTGAACAACATAGAAACTTTGCCTTATGCTAATGCATATGCATAAAAAGGCTGTGTTATTATTATGTTTATTTTAAAAATATTTTATATATACTTTTTTTATTGTAATTGTTTATGATGAAAATTTTAATGTGGTTGATTTTGATTTTACATTTTATTATGCTCTTAGCCTAATTTAATTAATTTTAAATAGTTGAAAGTAAAACTGGGTGAGTCGAAAACACTGAAGTGTTGTTACAGCGATTAGGTTCGCTTTTCTGTTTCATGCCAACTCACTCAATTGGATGTTTTATTTTTGTGTGTGGGTTTGTGATGTTTTAGCAATTAGGACGAATAAGAACAAGAATTTGTGGCATAAGTCTTTAATAAGATTTTGGTGTATTCATGTATGGAAGGGGTCACCAACATTGATTGAAATCAGCCCAACCGTTTGGCAATACCAGCGTTTTACAATGTTGCTAGAAGAAGGCGACGGCTAAGAAAACAGAACCCAGTCAGGGTAACAATATGTTGTATAAAAGCCGTTATCACTGGTTTATAATCGACGCAAATAATCAACCATGCATAAGTTGAAAGATCTTTGTTTAATTTCAACAAATAAGTTTAATATGCAAAATACATACTTGAGTTTGGACGTATAACTTCAACGTTAGATCCGTTCAAACAGGCTCGCTTGACTTTATTGGTTTGTACTTCTGTCCAATAAATGTATTTCTCTACCGGATCATATTCCACTCCTCGGAGCCCTCCTTCGATGGTGATTGGGAAAGGAGTTAGGTCAATATTCTCTTGGTTCGGTGTATTAATAAAAGCATAATATATTAAACCTTTAGCTCCATCGGTTGCGAGAATTACATACTCTGCATGTATTAAAAGAAAAACAGATCGTTTAAATTACAACAAAACGAATATGGTTTTAAAACTAAAGTAAAGAATAATGAGAAAAAGAGGTCAATGATAAAATTAACCTTTTTCAAAAAATATTTATAATATATTATTCAATTGATTTTACATTATATTAAATGTATTAATCTGCAAAACTGAATTAATGACATTTTGTAGATTATGCTGATTCTCATTGATCTTGTTAACATAATGTAGTAATGTAATGTAAAACAATATAATATATAATAATATTACAGTACATATATATATATAAATAAATAAATATATATATATATATTTGTCGATCGTTTTGTTTATCTCTTGTTTATCATTTAATTTCTGTTTTTATTTAAAGAATAATGAGAAAAAGAGGTAAATGATAAAATTAACCTTTTTCAAAAAATATTTATAATATATTATTCAATTGGTTTTACATTATATTAAATGTATTAATCTGCAAAACTGAATTAATGACATTTTGTAGATTATGCTGATTCTCATTGATCTTTTTAACATAATGTAGTAATATAATGTAAAACAATATAATATATAATAATATTACAGTATATATATATATATAAATATATATATACATATATATATATATATATATATATATATATTTGTCGATCGTTTTGTTTATCTTTTGTTTATCATTTAATTTCTGTTTCTATATGATCATGGACCTATTAATGGTTAATTCCGATGTTATATTAATTCAGTCGGCATTACGCTGAAAAGAGCAGGCACTCCCGAAATATTCGTAAGTATAATAAATTATACATATATCCTGAAAAAACGTCAACCGCCTATTATCGGTTGCGAGAATTACATACTCTGCATGTATTAAAAGAAAAACAGACCGTTTAGAGTACAACAAAATGAATACGGTTGCAAACTAGAGTAAAGAATGATGAAGAAAAGAGGTCAATGATAAAATAAGCCTTACCTTTTCAACAAATATTAATAATAAATAATTCAATTGATTTTGTCGAAGTTAATTTTGACATTATATCAAATGTATTAATCTGCAAAACTGAATAATGACATTTTGTAGATTATGCTGATTCTCATTGATCTTGTTAACATAATGTAGTAATGTAATATAATATAATATATAATAATATTACAGTACATATATATACATATATAAACATATATATACACATATATATGTGTATATAGCGCATAGAGACCACGTATTATGAGCTATATAAGTCTGCAACCATTACCATATATGTATATATATAAATATATATGCATATATATATATATATATATATATATA